TCCTTCCTTCCTTCCTTCCTTCCTTCCTTCCTTCCTTCCTTCCTTCCATCAATGGCTCTATGCTCCCATCCGCACATCTTTCTTATGCTTATTTTATTTAATATTGACTGACTATTCACTGTATGTAACCCTCTGTGATAGGGGCCCAGCGTGATAAGCTGATACATATTAAAATTCATAGAGTAAATCAAAATAAAGACTACTTCATGAGGGTTTGAGAGATCAACTGTGAAAGGCTAGGTTCACAACCACCCCTCCCCCAAGCTTCATGAGATAATTCTAGTGATATTTGGATGAACATGCATTCCGATTTAATTGCATGCTATTAATATATTACAATAATTCTTACAGACCAATGAGATGTTTTTGCAGAGAATTTATGATTTGGCGTAATAATCTCTTCGTTTGTAATTTAGGGTAAGAAAGTAGGAAAAAGAGAACAATTAATCTTGCCTGGACTTGGTTGAGGTGAAGGCAATCTGCTATCCAGGAAGCATGCACAAATGAAAAGGCTCTGTGCTGTCACTGGAGAGGAAGCATTGAGCAGAACCTCCCAGCTGTGAACCCATCTGCACCCAGAAGTGGCTTCTGAGGGATGTCTCACAATCAGTCAAGCCTACCTTTCCTTTCTGAGCTATGCACAGCCTTAAGTGTGGCTGTTGGATTTACATGCTCTCGGGCTGGAAAAGTCACTTTGTTTTTGAATCTCAATAGTTTCATTTGTAGCATTATTTTATTGCATATGACAGTTACTGAAGCTTATAATGGTGAATGGTAACATAAATAAGTCCCCAGCACACAATGAGTTCTTAATATGTGGTCAACATTGGGAGCTATAGTAACGATGTGTGTAGATAGTCCTTTCCCTCATCTTCCTGACAAATGTCTGTGGTCCTGGAGACTAGAGCAGTTTCTCAAGCAGTTGTGTTTTGAGGCCATTTTTGTCAGAGTAGGGGGAGGTGTGCCATCCAGGGAGATGCTGTCAAACGCCATACTAGGACCCTCACCTTGCCCTAAAAATTAGTCAGCACTACTGGCACTGGTGTGGAGGCTGAGAAACACTCTCCAGAAATGAGAGTTGTTAGTTAGAGGCAAACTAACTGTTTCCAAGCAAATAGTGCATGAAAACATAGAGGAATGAATGGATTGGACACAGAACTATCCTTAACCCCATAGGGTTAAAACTTAAGAATATTATGTTTGACCTGAAATAACAGTAAAACTACCTCATGGATACGTTAATCATGTTTTGTTTACTTGGTGGCTTTGGATGGCTATATATATATTTTTTTGACCTATGGTTCCAAATTTAATAATTAACAATATCTAATGTTTACCAAAGTACTTAGCACATGACAATTACTGTGGCGAGCATCCTGCATACATAACTACTCTCAAACATCACAATTGCCATTACTAGTGCCTAAGGGTGCTAAATTAAGTAAAGAGATTTGAGTCTGGTGCCAGTGTTTGGGTGGTTAGCCACTACATTCTTCCTTCCAGACACAGGGAGCAGAAAGGATAAGTCATATAGAACTATAATCTGTGTGTCACAGAATTTTAAGGATATTCAAAATCACGGGTCAGCAATAATTTGTATCCACCTGAGCTACCTTATAAATAGACACCTTTGAATAAATATGACTAAGCACCAAATTCAAGGTTGTTTATCTGACATTGAATCTTTACACAAGGCTCTTTAATACTGAACATTGCTCGTGCATCTGACAACTATTGATTTGACCAATGTTTTCTGCATGGAATATTTGGAAATGATGCATTAGCCAATAATCTGGATCTATACTGTGGTACTGTCTCACAGAACCCCAGTAAATCACGTGTGATGATTGGGGAGAGGCATTTTTTTTTAGATTTATGTATTTTTTCCTTCTTATCTTTTGTCTAACTTGTATACTCAGAAGCTTGTTATCAAAGATTGATTCCAAATCTCTTCCTGTTGTGACATTCTCACAACTTCTGTAGAATTTCAATTTGGTTTCCTCTGAGGACTGTGAAGTCTGGCAAGCTTCCCTGACCAACTTATGTGCAAGAGGAAAAGCCTAAAAGTTACTGAAGGACTAGAGGACAGTTGTATTGTCTCAAAGAGCTCTGTAAAGCCTGCAGAGCTGTAACAGGAAAGGTTGGACAGTACCAAGTGAGGAAAGGCCTCTTTATGACACTATTGTCCTCCTAGCTGAAGACATGGAAAAAATCTAGAAATGCTTGAAGAATATGTGTCAAGAAGATTAGCTGTGAGCAGGGTGGCAACTAAGTTTCTGAATGCCAATTTTTTTCCTGCTCTGGCGCATCTGTTTGTCCACCTAAGCCTCCATGTATCCAGCCATTGTCCAGTGGCCCCAGGCATCAGTTTTTGGGAGTCCAGCTCTGGCAGTCATGCACAGTGCATGCCAATCTGGGCTCATCTTCTGCAGTGCCTTACTTTTCCAGTGTCAGTGTTCACCCAAGAAGGTTGTCATTGCTGGAGAGAGTGAAAGCAGAATTTGAAGTGTCATCACGGCAAAGTAGATTGTGATGGTTAGTGAAGGGGAAGTAAAGAACAGTCCCCACTGAGAATCCGCAGCAAATGGAGTAGTTTAGGGAGGGGCGGAAAGGGTGTTCGCCGAACCTCATCGTGATTCCTTACCTGAAGTGCCCTTTTCTCCTTTCTCTCCTTTCCTGCCGTCTCTACCGTCCCTTCCAGGAAGGCCGATGCGACCATGGGGTCCAGGAGAGCCATTTGCTCCAGGAGGGCCTGGGGGACCAGGTAAGCCAGGGATGCTGCAGATATACCTGGGAGAGTAGCTCTCTCCCTTGGCCTGATTCCCCCGAGGTTGTCCACTTACACAGATGGCAAGACTTGTCACGTAGAGCAGCACAATCATCTTGGGCTCTAGAAGAGAAGCACAGACATTAGAACACTCTCCAGGGAGCGGCTTCGGCACAATGGAGTTAGTGTGAATGGAAGATTGGACATGTCCAGAAGCCCCCGCCAGCATTTGCTTTTCCTCACAGTGAGAATCCGGCTTCCTCTTCTGATTTAAAAATTCATCAACGTATCTTTGACACAGACTCCTCAGTGCCTTATTCAAGGACTGACATAGCTGAAGGGTGAAAACATTCTAAACACACTTCTTTTAGCAAAACATCATTTCCTTTTTGCAAGATTAATGCATTATAAAAAGAAAACGACATGTTCAAATGACTTAGATAAATACCAGCACAGTGGCCACTATTCAGAGATAATTAATTGCCATTTACAGTTTAGTATATTCACATTTCCAGTTCTTCTTGTGTGTCTGTGTTGTGAAAAAAGGTGATATTATGTCAATCCTGTGACTTAGAATTTTGTTTTTCATTTAACGTTGATTTAAGCTCTTCCAGGGCCAATTATCTGTACCACTGATTACTGTCTTTCTCTCTCCTCTCTTATATGTGTAGAAGTTGTTTACAGAATTGTGCCAGTGTAACACACACTGTACCATCCCTCTCAGCTAGCATGCATCCATCCGGTTCTTAGAACTCATGGGGAAAAAAGGAAGCACTTTAAGAAAGCCATGATTTTCACTTGTTAATCATGTGTAATGCCAATGAGTGTTAATTGCAGTACTGTGAATGTCCTGGGGGAGTCCGAAACTTTAATTTAAAATCTGCAGGATATAATGCCTCTGTGTCCCATTAAGCTGTTAGCACTGGGGGTCAATTAAAGAGCCGTGTGAACTTAAACCATGCTCAGTGCCCTGTGTGCCCTGAGAAGCAGACACAGGTCTCTTTAACTATAACCTAATAGGATTTGGCTTCTTGCTCCACAGAGGCTGGATGCAAAGAGCAATGAATGATTTATTAGCATGACATCCTGGCATGTAGGCTGAAAGTGTGGGTTGTGTGACCTAAGCTGGGGAGACGTGATTTTTCAGGTCATGTCATCCTTAGGGATGAGCAGTTTCTTCAATGGCAGGACGCGCACAGGTGTTTTAGGTAGATTGTGCAAATAAGGTTTTGAATGGCTGGACCTGTGCTTGATCTGGACAACATTCTCCTAAGGGGACTAATAATGAAATGTGGGAGAAGTGACCCAGGTGTTATTTTTGACAGCCATCCCAGAAAATTTGAAAGGCACACCACACACTATACCACTTTTATGGTGCCCATGGAAAAATTATAACATCTTGAAATTATACCCAGAATTCACCCCAGCTTAGGAATAGTAACTTAGTAAAGAAATGTAGGTGAGATTTTGGAATAATCTCAAGTCTTAGAATCTTATCATCAGAAAAGCTAAAACCATCTATCCAGTGTTACCAGACCCTCCCACCAAAGGATGAAAACCTTTTTTTTTTCATGTTCTAGGTACTGAACCTGCCATATAATATTATATCAATCTGTGTTCTGTTACTGTAATGAAATACATGAGGCAAGGGTTCACAAAGAGAAGGGTTTATTTCCTTTAACTGTCTGGAGGCTGAAAATCTGGAGACTGAAAATGCCACCTGGCCCAAGATCTCTAAAAGAGCGTCTGCCTTGGCGGCATCACACCATGGCATATGGTATAAAGGTGGTAAACAGGGAGACAGGAAGCCCAGACAATGGAGAGTGCCTATTTTGTGATTTTTGCTCTGGGTCCTATTCCTTCAAGCTCCCATTGCCTCTCACAACCACTGTAATGGGACCAAGCTTCTAACATTGGAACCATTGTTTTAAATTATATCCCAAACTGGGCAAGCGCCAACCTCAAACAACCATTCTTAGTGTTCAAATGGGATTAAGGCACTTTCTGACAAACCCTGTGATTCTGATAGCAACAGGAGCTCTTCGGGGAACTTCACGGAAGAAGGACCAGAAAGCTGAGAAGAGCCAGAGGACCCAAAGGACTTCTGCAAAAAGTTTCTGCTGGACATGGGCAGGGACGTTGTCCCCACAAACTCTCATCATCTGTGGCTGCCTGCCAAGAGCTGCACAGCAGCACCACACTCCACATCCCAGTGTCAGTAAGACTCACAGTATCTTCCCAACCCTGAGTTGAGAAGCCACAGGCAGTCTATGGTTGCTGAGGAAGAGAGAGTTTTTCTTTGGAAAAGGAAATGTGGGAGAGTATGGTAGGAATTGTAGTAATATTGTATTGTATTCATGTATTTTTAATTTTTATTTTTATATGAGCTGTTTTAAAGAAGACCCAGGTAAAAGGTAACAGAATGAGGTAGCTTGGAATGTGCTTGGAAGAAAGACTACTTCACTGATACCCAGCGGCATATGCTCAAAGGAGGAATAAAATAAAGCAACTAAAACAGCTTGATCACTGAACAAAAGGGCTGCTTTCCATTGACAAAAGCACAAGAGAGCTGTCTGATACATGCTTGCATGCAGCTCCAGTTATTACTTTTTGAGTGTCACTCAAGATGATCATTTTTTCTTAATTAATTAACTTATTCACTTTACATTCCAATTGTAGTTACCTCCCTTCTCTCCTCCTGGTCCCACTGTCCCTCCCTCTTTCCCATGTCCTCCTTCCCTACCCCACAGAAAAGGGAAGCTCTCCCCACCAATTCACCCCAGCACATCCTGTCACATCAGGACTGAGCACATACTCTTCCTGGTGGCCTGGTGCTGATTATTTGTTAACAGTCACCAGCAAAGAGGAGCAAGGTGCGGTGGTACTCACTGCAAGTCATGGCATGATGGTGAGAGCCAAGTCTCAGGACTCAGTTCACGGATGAAGATGAGAGAATGTGGATTACCATGGGAAACCACAGCGGCTTCTCACCATGATGGTTTTAGTTTTCTTTAAGAGTCAACACCACCATGTCTACAAGATCCACTCGATCCTCACAGCCCTCCTTAAATCATGTGACTTCATTTTGATTTTCCTCCTCAGTCCCAGTTCTAGTTGCAAAGGATTCCTTGGTGTCCCTCAGAGGCACCTGGTTCAACCTTCCTTAGCATCATTGCGGTTTCCTTGTTCTGGATAAAATATCTGCACCAAGATGTCTAGATGGATTAATTCCTCACTTCTTCCTTGAAGTCTTTCCCATATGTCATTTTTTTTCAGTACAACCATTATCATCTTATTTAATATTGTGGAATGCATTTTTAAAATGTCTCCAACCCTCCTTATTCTTGCTCTATTTTCTTTTTTCTGTCCTCCTATTTCATTTAGCATCTCAACCCACTATATTATCCCTATTTTACTTTGTGGTATAAATATTTTTTTTTTTCAGATAGGACCCACAGCACCCAAACTCCAAAAGGGCAGGTATCTTTCTCTTATTTAACAATGGGCCCAACATCCAAGTTGGGAAGAGAGACTTTGGAGGATGAGACATGAGTTCTGTGGGAAGAAAAACTAATGAGAAATTATGAGAATATTATAAGACAAAGGAAAAGAAGATTAAAATGTTTTCCCTGGACCCATGGGTTTTTGCAGTGTTTAAGAGTATACATTAAGAACTTAACTGATTTAGGTTATATGGCCTACAGTACATAGACATATTAAAATATTTTTTGCAAATGTAGATAATGCATTTCTAAAAACATAAAGAAAAAGCATGTGTAATTGTAAGTAGATCTAGTGGTTTTTAGATTTAATACTCCTGAAGGTGTGTCCTGTTGCCACTTCCTGTGTGTTCTTCTCCAGGTTAGCTTTGTGTACAGACAGCATTCTCATGTTGCTTTCAAATCAGTCATGTTTGTGGGGTATTTGTTCCAAGACCATCACTTCACCTTAGGCACCAAGATCCAAAGAGGCTCCAGGTCCTGATATAAGCTGGTGCTGTGTTTGCGTATAACCCATGCACATCGTCCTGTATACTTTGAGTCACTTACCTCTATATGACTTATTATATCTAGCCTAATGTGAGTCTTTGTAACTGTACTGGTCAAAGAATAACAAGCAAAAGCCTGCACATGTGCAGTACGTACTTAATCATCGCTTGGTATTTGTCTGTGATTCACTGAAGGCGGGCATGTGGAAGCTCTGGGTAGAGTCTCGGTGCACCTATCTATATTGACATCTCCTCACATAAAGGCACCACACTCCTTTTGTTTCAGTAACTCTAAGATGCCTCTCATATGCATGTGTTATATTTAACCAGTGTCTTACCAGTGGACATTAGGGGTATTTTTATTCTTTTGTTATTATAACCGTTACCATAACATTTCTTATGCTATAATATATACTATTATGTGATACTAAATTTATAGTAATGAATATTTATATTTACCTATCTCACAGGCTTCATGGCAAATGCAGAAAATATTTTTTCTAGGGTTTCTTCACTTTTTAAAGGATTCTTTTTATTTTTAATTATGTGTGTCTGTGTGGAGGTACACGGGTGTGAATGCAAGCACCTGGTTGAACAGACCAAAGATATTGGATTCCCTGGAGCTGGAGTAACAGGAGGTTTTGATGTTGCCGTGGGTGCTGTAAACCAAAACCAGATCCTCTGGAAGCAGCAAGAACTCTTAAGCACTGAGCCATCTCTCCAGCTCTAGTTTCTAGTTTTTTATGTACATTTAAAATATTTTTATCATTAAAAAAACCTTTTCTAAAGTCTACTTTAATATGCTTAGAATATATCTCCCACTCCAAAATACTAAAAATAATTTTACATTTATTTCTATTCTCACATTTCATTTTATCACATACAAAATTTGGTCCACCAGGCTTTTTCTGATGAAAAACTGCGAGGCAGCAATACATCTGTACATTTCCAGGACCATTTCCTGAACCATCCTTTTTCATCTATGCTCAAAGCTTAAAGCATTGCAAGGAATTTGGTTGTTTTGACTGAGAATAAACCACATGAGTCAAAACTTTACATTATAATGATTTTGGACAGCTTGAAAAGACATAATTTGCACAGCACAAAACTAATCAAACTATACAACTCAATACAC